GTGGTTAAATAGAAATGAATATCGGTAAAGCATCTTCGATGGGCCTAATGGCCCCATTTTTGGCCCATCTATATCATATTTTTTTGGTTAAAACGTCTGAATCCCAATTCAATAGTTTTCCCAACTTTTTTGGTATTTTATTATTACCTTTTAAAAACCAAATTACAGCATCTGAGAGTATTGTACATCTTTTTGTCATCTAGCATGCACGACAACTCGTATAAACCAATGCTTTCCAAACCGAAATAAAAAGGTGGAAAAGTGAAGAACACATATGGCGAATGTTCAGCAGCGGCCAAGTCGGAATAAATTCTTCAACTTTCAAGGGTTTGGCTTTGCAAGGAGAAGTAGCTTTCTATTAGATTATTAGCATATATATATATACTCATAAGCATATATGCCTACAATATTGTCAATAGGTCCTTTTTTTTCATGAACATAATCCATTTATCGTTTAAACAAATATTTGAACCTTTGTTTCATAATTTTTCTGGTATCCGGAGTTAATTTTACATATTTCGACCAAACGAAGATTGAACCTAGAATATAAAAGAACCAACTCCTTGTGTTAATTACCACTAAACCACAACACCTTTGATATTTTATCTCGTTCTTTTTCTTTTTGAATCAGAAACATTTAAATTATTTTAATGTTCTACACGAAATCCCAAGTTCGACAATTATATTCCCGTTTCTTACCGATTGTGGATGGATGGAAATCTATTAAACGTTTTATTGTATTGTAGACAAAATAGTTTGTCGTGCTCTATTATATCATTATATGAAAAAAAAACATCGAGTATTTATAGATAACGTAGTTTGTCGTGGTCTATTGATTATTAACGCAATTCATTAATCGATTAAACAAAACCATTTTTTTCAAGTGTATTGTTTGTGAATAATAAACCAATAAAAATCGAAATATCTTTAAAAGAGAAACTTACTTTCAATAAGCTCATCAATACATATCTAATTATCTACCTGGAACCAGTAACAAAAGTCATTTAAAAGATTTAGATTCTCAAAAATATAATAATTCCCTTGTTTTATTTATCTTAGGTTGTGAATATAAATCAAGCTTAGAAATTATCATTCATAAATTTATCACATCACAACTAAAATTCACCACATTTGAACATTTTCACTTCGTACATAATAACTATACATACAAACACGCGCATACATACACTCCACCATAGAACAATTCTCGCAAATAGTAGGTGCTTATATCAAAAGAA